AGAATTTACCTCAGACAAACAACCAGGCACAACTACAGACAAAACAAATTAGCGTCTTGGAATGAGACGCAAAACCCAAACAAACACCAGAGATTGTTTGGCCAACCGTGCTCACCAGTTTTAACTCTGTGTGCATGTTTATTTTTATGTTTTCTGGTTCTCATTTGCTTCAGTTTGCCGTCGGTGAGGTCTCCATTCTGAATATGACGATGCATGCAAGACTGAACAACCAGAATGCGTAATCCCACAAAAAAAGAGTGCTTCCCATTTTTTCTGCACATCGTAGGTTGCCCTTAAGTTCACCATGGAGGAAAACAATTAAAAGTCTCTCAATGCAGCGATGTGCTTTCCATGACTGCTATAGTTAATGATTAGTTGGTAAACACTGTAAAGACGGCCTCGAGCGGCAATTCACTGCATTTAAGAATTGGAATAGACAAAGAGGAACATTTTAAAATGGCAGTAAACTCGTTGCATCTTATGCTAATAGCTGTGTTTTGGAAAATGGTAGCTGGTTTTAGCTGGTCATTTGCAGGTCAACCAAGATCCAAAAACCAGCCTGACTACCATATAATGTTATGACTAGCTGGTTGCTGGTTGATTTTTGGACTGAGATGGCCTGAGATGACAAAGTACCACCGATAAATCTCATTCTGTCAACTACTAGCTAGCAATAGTGTAATAATAGCATGCTAAATACCACTTTTTTACTAAATGTAATGCATGGGATGAAATGTGTCACTTAGCATTAGCATCGCCAGCATAATTAAACATCAAATACTAACAAGCCTTATCCTTTACCCAAAAACACATAAATAACACTTAATTAACATTTACTCTCCCAAACCAATCCCACGCAAAGCATGCTGGAAACTAGAAATCCAATGTCCAGATGTCAACAAAATGTAATCCTAACACAAAAGTTATACTCGATTTCTCAAAATTAAGTGGATAATAAACTGAAAAGAACCTTCTGTGCAATGGAAAGGTTCTATTGATGTTAAAGGTTCTTCATGGAACCACCAATGCCAATGAAGAACCTTTAACATCAATAGAACCATGTCCCAAAATGCAGCAACCAACAGGCATTGCTTTTAAATATTGGTGCATATAAATACAGAAACCTCAAACTACATGCCACCATATGATCTGATGCACCCTGTAAATGCCTTTAAGAAATATAGAGCCGTTAATGTTGGTGCAGTGAAAGCAACCAATCCACAATGGTCAAAAAGCTACAATGTGTTTCATCAAAACTATCGTCCAAATGTGCAAATGTGTGGCCCCAAAACTGGTTCACTGCAAGTCCGAAAGCCTGTTTTGTTGACATTTTTGGGAAGGGTCTCTTTTTCACACAATTCATACGTGACACATCGTTAAAGATATTTGCATCCTTACCAATGTTCCCTCCAAGTCAAACGCCGCTCGCCCCGTTTGTGGTTCCTCTATGTCATTTCCAGAACAGAACAATATTTTCCTGATTAATTAATTTCGACCAGCAGAAGTTCGGCACAACATATAAATATCAAAAAACGTCTACTTTATTGAAACCACAAGGGATGCTGGTATTGTCCAAAACACACAAACTTTCTGGAGAGGTCACTCGCCCTATTTTCTGCTCTGGTGGGCAGGGGAAGCAGTAGTGACCATTGGAATGTTCTGGTTTCGCTTGTATGTTTGAGCTTAAGCCTTCCTGATACCCTCTTCCCAAGCACAGCACCACTACCGACCAACTGGCCCCTGCCATCTCAGCCCACGGCCCCCAGAACTGGTGGCTCGAAGCCCTTGCTCTGGCTCCAAATCCACTCCCTTTGTCTTTGGGAAGGTGGGTGCAACTTCCTGAAAACAACAGTAGGGTGTAATCTGTGGAATTACCGGAGTATCTGATAAAGGCTTGTGTTTATGGCCAGATTTGCTGTGGAAAAAAATCTTGTTCCTCAAAGGATATGATGGGAATGGATTACTGGAGGTGGCATCCAATTAAAACTCTTTAACATCCATGGAACTTTTCCATCACACAAAAGGTTCTTTATAGTGGAAAAATATGCTTTAGATTTTTAAAATGTTCTTCACACTAATAATAAAAAGAGCTTCTTTTTAGAACTGTTCATTGAAAGGTTCTTTGGGGAGCCTTTTTTGGAACCTTTATTTTAAGAGTGAATAAAGAACCTTTTGTGCAATGCAAATGGATTTTATAGGTTCATAATGGAAGCATAGAGTGTACCATGTTCCATAAATATTGGTCAATATAAATACAAAAACCTCAAACTAAATGCCACTACCGATCAACCGGGCCCCTGCCATTTCAGCCCATAGCTCCCAAAACCAGTGGCCCTACAAATCCACTGCCTTTCTCTTTGGGCTGGTGGGGGCAACTTCCTGAGACAACAGTAAAGTGTAATCTGTTCAATTGCCAGAGCATCTGATAAAGGCTTGTGTTCTTGGCCAGATTTGCTGTGGAAAATATCCCTAATGCTCTTCTTGTTCCTCAAAGTATCGGGGACAGATTACTGGAGGTGCTTGGCATCCAATTAAAACTCTTTAACATCCATATAACTTTTCCATCACACAAGAGGTTATTTGTAGTGGAAAAATATTCTTTAGATTTTGAAAATGTTCTTCACATTAATAAAAAATGCTTAGAATTTAAGAACTGTTCAATTAAAGGTTCTTTGGGGAACCAAAAATGATTCTTATAGCATCACTATGAAAACTCTCTCTTGGAACTTTTATTTTAAGAGTGTATAAAGAACCTTTTGTGCAATGGAAATTGATGTTATGGATTTAAAAAGATTTATCATGGAGCCATAGAGTGTACCGTGTTCCAAATGAACATGCTGGTCAAAATAAACCTCAAACTAAATGCTACCACTTCTGATCAACCTGGGCCCCTGCCATTTCAGCCCATGGCCCCCAAAATCATTGGCCCTCCAAATCCACTCACTTTCTCTTTGGACTTTCTGAGACAACAGTATGGTGTAATCTGTGGAATTACCAGAGCATCAGACAAAGGCTTGTGTTCTTGGCCAGATTTGCTCTCTTACACTCTCCTTGTTCCTCAAAGAACTGGGAATGGATTACTCGAGGTGCTTGGCATCCAATTAAAACTCTTCGTTTTCCCACCATTTCCTCGCCAATGATTAAGTTCCAGGAAGGCATCTCGTCAGATTACACAAACCCGAAGATTATCAGGTCAAAAGTGAAAGGTCAGTACCACAAGGGCAAAGATTCGCCCTATAGCAGGTGTTGACCCAAAAGATCCAAGACTGGGAATCTCTTCATCCCCATTTTGCAACCCATGGGGAAGTGTCTCTTTTTTCTAAGCCTAGCTTTGTTTCCTAAAGCCGCACTTTAGGGGGATTAATCCGTGAGCCAAATTTACTGCCAGTGGACTGTTTATTTCTACGCAACAATTAAAATTCCAGCTTTTGGCTGGCATTCGACTGACTGACAGGAATGAATACGGCAGCCTGGCACTGACTGGGCAACCCTGGCACTGGAGCTTCGCATGGGGGTATTATTTTAATGGAAAAGAGATGATTATTCACTGCTTCCACCTGGCAACACAATGACGAGATAATGAAGTAGACCAAACGCTGGCTGGAGGCCATCCTCGCTAACAGCTCTAGGTCTAAAGCGTGACCCCTTAACAGCAGCACTAGATAATGTCACAGCAAATCCCCTGCACTGCTTTTTGTACACGACTCTACAATAGTTTTCTAGTTTAGTGGGGTTTGCTAATGTCTTCAAATGATTTCTTTGTTAATAATGTGTAGAGATTTTGCTATACTTTTTATCCAGCAGGAGATAAAGTGGGGTTTAAATGTCTGAAAATCCAACATTCAAAATCTGATGTGGACTTAGATTTAAAAAAAAAGTTAAGATCATAATGAATTTCAGATTCACAATTTCCTTGTGTAAGTAAATGAGTGAAATTAATCATGTGACTCTTTGTACAGATGGTCAGATGTTCTTCTTGAAGCTCAAGATTTTCTTTGGATCACCTCAAATCATGCTGGTGAACATGATCATCAGGTTTTGTTTATGTCATTAAAGCAAAAGACAAATTTATGTTCATTTTTCGGTTTTCAATATTTCACTCAGGTTATACAAATACATTTGAATATTTCTATTAATATTATTTTATTTTTATTTATTCACACAAACACACAATTAGGTACAGTACATTAAATAAAAATACTATTATAAAATATAATATTAATTAAAATAATTGGTAACACTTTGTTTTAAGGTGTCCTTGTTACACGTTACATGTATTTACTATTAAAATAACAATAAATTAGAATTACATGCAAGTAACCCTAAACCAAACCCTAATCCTAACCCTAATCTATAGTAAGTACATGTAGTTAATTCATATTAATCAGTACTTAAATGTATAATAACACTGTAACAAGGACACCTTAAAATAAAGTGTAACCAAATAATTTAATAATTAAAATTACTTTAAATAATCTTAGTATAATATTGATATACATAAACTATACACTGCCAACCAGACTAAAATATAAAATACAATTACTATTTAAATATTAATACAATAGTGCATTTGCTAATATAAATGCACTATCAATTAAAATAATACTTATTTATAAATATTATTTTTCATATTTTTTTAATATATAAATAAAACTAATGATAATAATTTCATAATTAAATAATAAATATGTATATTTTAAAAACAATGACGCTTCAGCCAACGTCATTGCCTTCATTTGACATCCTTCTTCTAGAGTTGATTTATATAACTGCCATACATGTTGTTTCTGTTATTTAACATGTTTTGTTAAATTTGTTTAATCTATTCATGAATATTGAGCGTTTGTAACTAGGAACTAAAGTACAATTGCGTTACACACGGACACTTTTTTATGGTGCAACAGAGAAAAAGGACATACATTTTGGTGAAAAGGTATTCTCCGTGTGTGAATATAAGAGTTACTCGTGTTTTGAGCAAAGAAGTAAAGAAGATGTTTTCATTTTTTGTTTGAATCGGGTATTTTCAAGTGAACTCATTCTCTCTTGGTTATATGCAGCCAGCGAGGTATGTGTATTACGTTTGTATTTCCCGAGTGTATTTGTATTTACTTCTTTAAGGTTTATGTGAACGTGTTTCTTTTACATTGTCATACTGTAGTTTGACGGTGGAATTCATTGATGATGAGTGAGATGGCGAAGATAAGGATGACAAGCGAAATAAATCCATCGGTAACCAGAACCACGGTCTCGTTTATTTCCCGGAGGGAGTGATAATTTATTTTTTTGTGCACCTGCTTTTAAATATTGGATTTTACTAAATATTTTAAGATACATTTGACTATTTTGTGATATAATCTGCTATTATAACATACAGTTACAATTACAGTGATATAAGTGTTTTGTCTAGTTATAGGTTAATCCAGTTTCTGTCTGGTTTGTCTGTCACATCCAGGAATAGCCAGCTGGCCATCGACCAACCCAGCAGGATGTATGTGGCCACCTAAAGTTCCAGCGTTTCCTGTTTACAACAGCATGTGTGACACTTTCTTGGTTTGCGTTTTTGAGTCTGCCTCCGGAATGCTTTAGGAGCACCTCTATTTTATGCACATGCAGCTCAGTGTCGGTCAATGGGTCAGCAAACACGATACAATCTCAGCATCACAACACAGAGTTCCCAACGTCTGTTTGGTGTTTTTAAAGGAAGTGTGCTGGACTGATGAAACCACTGAATGATGCTCTTGTGAAAAGCCCATCTGAAACGTGAAATATGAAACATATATTATCATGGCAAAGAAGAAAACCACAAAGACAGATCAAGCCGATGTGGTGAACATGAGGCTGTGAAGACAGGAGAGACAGCCCACATGAGCGTTAGATTCTTGTCTTAAGGCAAGCGCAGTGTTATTGTTTCCTGTTCATACGGATCGCTGTACTCTGTGGAAAGTCCATTTTTTTCCTTGGTTTTTTTGGAAACCAAGAGACATTCCATTTCTCACCATATGACCTTCAGGTAGAGACAACAGAGAACATGTCAGCAAATATCAGGCAGAGCACTTAATTACATTTAGGCCAGAAACACTCTACAAAATTATGTCAACTTGTCAAACTGTCAACTTGCGTTTGCATCCATTAAAGGAGAGCTATTATGCCCCTTTTTACAAGATGCAGTATAAGTCTCAGGTGTTCCCAGAATGTGTCTGTGAAGTTTCAGCTCAACACTTTGTTTTAAGGTGTCCTTGTTACACGTTACATGTATTTACTATTAAAATAACAATAAATTAGAATTACATGCAAGTAACCCTAAACCAAACCCTAATCCTAACCCTAATCTATAGTAAGTACATGTAGTTAATTAATATTAATCAGTACTTAAATGTATAATAACACTGTAACAAGGACACCTTAAAATAAAGTGTAACCAAATAATTTAATAATTAAAATTACTTTAAATAATCTTAGTATAATATTGATATACATAAACTATACACTGCCAACCAGACTAAAATATAAAATACAATTACTATTTAAATATTAATACAATAGTGCATTTGCTAATATAAATGCACTATCAATTAAAATAATACTTATTTATAAATATTATTTTTCATATTTTTTTAATATATAAATAAAACTAATGATAATAATTTCATAATTAAATAATAAATATGTATATTTTAAAAACAATGACGCTTCAGCCAACGTCATTGCCTTCATTTGACATCCTTCTTCTAGAGTTGATTTCTCAAAATACCCCACAGATCATTTATTATATCATTTTGAAAATGCCAATTTTGAGTGGAAAAAACACACGCTGTTTTTGTGCATGTATCTTTAAATGCAAATGAGCTGCTGCTCCCCGTCCCCTTTTCCAGAATAGGACTGTGCCTTTACAGCTCGTACCTCAGATATTCTGTTTTTGATTGTCATGTCTATCACACTGAAATCATGCGTTTTAAACCATATTAGTTTAAACTTCTGATATAGGATTTTCTGAGCGCACACATCCGACGCACTAGAGCCCGACCGATATGGGCATTTGGGAGCCGAAGGCGATACCGATATTAGGGAGTAAAAAAAGTCCAATATCGATATATCGGCCGTTATTCATTATGTGTATATTATAGTACAGAACCAGTCAAAAGTTTGGACACACTTCCCATTCGTGTGTCCAAACTTTTGACCTATAGAATACAGTATATACAAAAACAGAATATATATACATAAACACATTTTTTGCAATGATCACTCAAATGTGGTGATCAGACAAAGATATGTAATGGATGCAGGGTATTTAACAATTTAACAATAAACTTTATTTTTAACATTTCTATGAAATGTTTTTTTTTTTTTCACAAATTCTGTGTTGTGTATTTTCTGGTAATCAAACGAACATGCAGAACATGAGAATTTGTATTTAGTCTTTTTGCAGTTTAATATTCAAAAACACTTTTTTGTATCACGATTTGATTTAAGTGTACTGACCTGTTTTTTATTTATTCATCAAAAATATGACAAATTCTGTGAAATTCCGTGTTATACAGTAAATTCCGTTTTTATGACTGGATTCCGTCTGCATTTTCTGCATCGCGGAAATCATAGGGCTCTACTAATGTAGCAAACGAGTATGATAAGCTCATTGTGAGAGTAAAAGATGGAGACAATGTTTATTTACTTTATAGCATTGCGTCCCACCAACTAGGTGACAACGTAGCGTTAAATCACCATTCAACAGACTCAAGCCACCACTGCACCGCCGTCTATTGGACTGCAGAAAGATACTAACTTTTCAATCTGCTACGTTACTGACTGTACTGACAAACTATGCTGACTTAGGACATGTGATGTGACAGATGTGATAAACATGGCACTTTTAAGGGACTGTGTTTAAAGCCCCAGTCAAGTGAGCCGTCATCTGCGACCACTCGGTCAAGCCAGCTGCCTCCTGGATTTGAATGCTCGTCTATTTTTGTAATTACGGTACGAACGCGTGGTGCAGCCAAAAAGCTGAGAAAGGCGCTTTTTGGAAGCTTCATGTATCACAACACCTGAATTCCACAAACAGACATGCAGGAAAATCCAGGCAGCGGCTGGCTTGACAGGGTGTTCACACATGGCGGCTCACTTGACCGCTGTGGGTTAATGTTATGTTGGACTTATATTGAAAAGGGAAACTTATGAAGAAGTATCTTTAATACTCCTTCACTTACAGGCTTGCAAACTTTGGTAAAAATATGTGAAAAGTGCTTTTTCTCCATTTTTTAACATTCACCATTGGCATACAATGCAACAAAGATTGCTAAAGTCAACGTATTTAACTAATAGACCTACAAATCTCTGTGTAAAATTAAAATAATGATGCTGCCATCTTTCTAAAGTCATTTTTAACCCCTGTAATTTGGCTCCAAATCTCAGGTGAAAATTGACATTTTGAATAATGAATAATGAGCTGAATTATTCAAGCTGAATAATGTCATTATCGTATATTATCGTCTTCTGTAGAGCTGCTTTACAGTTGAAACTGAATTTGCGACAGTTTATTTCTGTGAAGCTGCTTTGAAATAATCTGCACTGTATAAAGTGCTATATAAATAAATCTGACTTGACTTCTAGGTAGTAAAACATCCATTTCTAAGTGAATATTTATAGGTAATAAACTTAATTGCACACTTGAGTCAAGTATGTACACTAAGCATTAGCATAATTGCGTAGAGCATGTAGAAACTAGATGAATGAAAATATCCAATTCTAACCGTCTAATACATTGGTTTAGCTCCGAATCTTTCTTTTGAATCAGTTCTATAAGGGTTGAAATGACTAATTTAACAGTGCAATAGTGACAAGCTAATTGTATATTTTTAGGAAATCTTGTCTTTCTTGATTTTCTAGGTTGACATTTTTTTTCCAGGCTTTTTCCTGACAATTTGCTGGAAGTCAACTGGGAATACATTTCTGCTTGATGCTCTTTCAATAGAAAAAAATAATTTTTAGATGTTTTCTCTTTACTCAAGTTACAAAGCTGGAATTGTCAGCATGACCCTGTGAGTTCAGTTCTTTCAGGTTTTATAATAAAAAATAAATAAACAAACAATGATTCACAGTGTACAGTTTCCAACATTACATAAAGCTTACATGTGGATTGTGCAGCTCCTCATGCGGACGATCTTGATGCCAAGTGGGTTATCTGTGGACAAACCAAAAATGCACTTGAGTGAAAAGGAGGTACCAGTGAGCCACATGGAGACTGAAAGGATTTGTTTTTGTCCTGTTCCTACAGGAATCCTACCACAGATATTCCAAACACTCATTACGGAAAGACAATAAATGTAGAAACACTCTGTCATCGTGCAATGCAAATGAGAAATGTTTATGTTGTACTATTTGGTAAACGCTTTTATTCAAAGCAAATATGAACTTATTTTATCATCACAGGAGCTCAACCTATGAGCTTAGCATTGTTAATTTTGTGTAGACAGATTTTTGACTTACAATTTAAAGGAATAATTGTGAAAATTGAACATATGCTGAAAATGTACACACCCACAGGCCATCCAAAAGTTTGTTTCTTCATCAGATTTGTAGAAATGTATCATTACATCACTTGCTCACCAATGGATGTGAATGGGTGCCGTCAGAATGAGAGTCCAAACAGCTGATAAAAACATCACAATAATCCACAAGTAATCCACACCACTCCAGTCCACCAATTAAGTTTGTGAAGCCAAGAGCTGCGTGTTTGTAAGAAACAAATTCTTCGTTAAGAACGGCTAAAATATCCATCCAAAAGTCCATTATCCATAATAACGCTTCCTCCAGAAAAAAAAAAAAGTTGTCTCATCTGAATCAGGAGAGAAATCTGCACAGATCAAGCACTGTTTACAAGCAAAAAAACAGTCCAAAACAACTCTAAACAAATATGTGGGTGGATTTTGATGTGAGAGACAATAGGAGATGGACTTTTTCACTGGAGGAAGCTTTATTATGGATTATTGACTTATGATCCTAATGATGGATTTGTTCCTTACGAGATGTTAACTGATGGACTGGAGTGCTGTGGATTACTTGTGGATTATTGTGATGTTTTTATCAGCTGTTTGGACTCTCATTCTGACGGCACCCATTCACTGCAGAGCATCCATTGGTGAGCAAGTGATG